AGAAGTTGACAGAATAGGTTATAAAAAGAAGTCATTGGGAGGGAATGCTAATAGAATCTACTACAGAGTAAAAAAAATGGTTGTTAATCAATGACATTTTAATTTAGTTTATTTGCATGGAGAGATGGGTAGAATATATCCAGTGGTTCTCAAGGTTGTCTCCTGGCTCTCTATTCAGGAGAGACCACCATCAGTTCTAAAGGGATATGTGTGAGGAGTCATCCATATGTACGCAAGTGCCTTAACCCCAGGACAATATCTCTGATCCTGGTAATGGATGACTTTCATGCCTTCTTTTCTAACATCTGTGCTGCCCTAGAATTGTGTGTGAAGGCTACAGCTCCAGTAGTCATCGAAACCAAGAAAAAACATTGTGGGTAATATTGTATGGTTAGGAACCAGAGTGATAGTACAGTGGGTAGGGTGCTTGCCCTGTGTGCCTTTGATCTGGCTTCAGTTTCCTGGCATCTCCTATGGTTCACTGAGCACTGCCAGGAGTGATTCCTGAGTGCAGAGCTGGGAATAAGCTCTGAGGAAACTGGGTGTGGCCCTCAAGCAAAAACAAACAAAAAAATTGCCAGTTAAGAAGATGGTACTACATGGCCAGAGAGATAGCACAGTAGAAAAGGCACTTGCTTTGCATGCAGCTGACCTGGCCTTGATCCCTGGTACCACATGAGGTTCCCTGAACTCTGCCAGGTGTATTTCCTGAGCACAGAGCCAGGAGTAATCCTGAATATACTGGGTTTTCCCCCTCAAAACTCATTCCCCCAAAGAATATGAATTAGGTGAGATCAATTTTAAAAACAAATCTCCAAAATATAACCATGATAATATACATATAAGCATAAAAAGTACTGATTAAGCATTCTACGTCCTTCTAATTTTTGTGCCAAGTCTTTGAAAACCTATACAGGGACTGGAAAGATAGTAAAGTAGGTAAGGCATTTGTCTTGCATGTGAACCAATCTTCGTTTTGTCCCCAACAATGCATATAGTCCCTTAAGTCCTGCCAGATCCTTGAGCACAGAGCCACAAATAGGACCTGAGCACAGCTGGGCTCTCTTACTCTCCCTGCACCTCTCACTAAAAACAGAGAACAGAACTACAGATAAAGGTACTTAAATCCTTTATGGCCACAGAACCACCCTTAACTGCCTCGAAGAAAAAAATTATAAAGTTATAAATATATAAAAATTTAAAAAAATATAAAAATATAAATACCATGGTATTTATAATTCTTTGGGGCGTATAGAGAGACCTCCAAAAAGAAGTTAATTCTCTCCACAATTGAAGCTACTTCTCCAATCTAGCTAATACAGTATGCTGATTAATTGTGATTCATGGTTTCTCTCCTGAGAACAGAGCTTTATAGATAATCTTAATTAAAAGCTGTCTTTCCCTCTGACTATAAAATTGTTAGGCTTTTATTCTAAATATTTTATCCTATTTCATTTTTTATAAAGTGAGGATAATACTACTACTAATAATATATTAAGTTGCTTGATATTTTTCTTTCATCCTTTTTTTGGGGGTGGGGGTTGTTGTTATTAGTCCAACAGCACAAACTAGACAAATAGTTGGGGGAAGGAAAATGAGATAGTACTCAAATCAATATTTTCATACTTTAAAGAGTTCTTTTATAAATCATGATGGTTTAAAAGATTCAAGTTGATGGTTTTGAAAAGTCAGTGGGGAAAAAATCAGTAGATTGGAATTTAGTTATTAACATTTTACTCTCATTCTCATGAATAGCTAAATAGATAAATACACACATGCATGCATAACTTTTAATAATGTTGGCTGTAGAAGAATTGCTTGTTCCAAGTTGCTGGAATGGAGAAGACAAACAGTTTTGTCTTGGTGCTTTCCATTAAGATAAGTTGACTCTTAATGACTCACAGTTCCTTCCAAATGGACACAGAGTTGCAAAGAAGCAAATCCTGCTTATACTCTTACATGGTATAATTATATTTATGCTCATATGCCCATTAAGCTAAATTGGTTGGATAAAAATCTTGCTAAATTAATTTGACTCAATTAGGAAATTTGTGTTTATGTGCAGGCAAGGACATTATGTGCAGACTAAAATATATCTGATTATTTTAAATTTTTTTTGTGGGTGACTCAGTTTTGCCATAACTTCATGAATGAACTAAATTTTTGTAAATGTGGATCCATCTTATGAGTTAAATAGGCATTGGTTCTTTGTTGGGAAATCACTCAATAGAAAACTTGTCCATTCTGAAGAAAAGAAATACAATCTTAAAGGCAAGAATATTTGAGCATCTTTACTTCCTCCTACATTACCCCTCTTGCCACTTCCTACAACTGTCATCTTCTTTTCAAAACATTTTCCTAGATCTTCTCAGTCTGTTTTTCCATCACACACTAATCAGCCCAACAGAGATGGCTACTGTTTCTTATCTGCCCGAGCCAATGTCCTGAGCTGTGCTTTAACCCAAATGATTACTTTTCCACCAGATTTCAGAAACACATATATAATGAGAACTAAACATGATGGGATCAACATATTTTAGAGGGAAGAAAATGCTTTGTGGAGTGATGTTCTTGAACCTTTTTTTATGCCTACAGATCTGCATCAGTTTTGCATATTGGTCCAGCAACTGGTAGTTATAACCAAGGGGGTTAAACTCATTGTTTTCCACCTTCCTACATCTGTGATCTGAAACCAGTCCATGGATCAGTGGTTGAAGATCACTCTTCCAGAGGGTCAAAATGCCAAAAAGCAAGGACACAGGTATAAAAGCATTCATTTGAGTGTATGTGACATATGCCTCAGGCAAAAAGACAACCTAAAAATAGCCAATGTTACAGGTGTCAACTTGAGGCCAGTCTTCTAACCTTCATCACCATATCTTCCATTACTAAGATGTAAGAGAAGGAATTTTGTATTTTAAGAGGTGAGGGAAAAGCATTTAGATGTATTGAGGAACCAAAGTTTATTCTATGACGAACTCTCAGAGCATAATCAATAGTATATGTCAAAGTAATGGAATCATCAAATATTGCAGTTGGGGGGCAGAAGAGATAGTGAAGAGGTTAAGGTGCTTGTCTTGCATACAGCTCACCCTGGTTCAGATCCTTGCTCCAAATATTGTCCTCCTCCTTCCCCACGTTCCCCCTCCCCCCAAGCACTGCCAGGAATGATTCATTAACACAGAGCAAGAAGTAACCCTTGAGCACAGCTGAGTATGGCTTAAAACCAAACCAAACCTAACCAAACCGAAACAAAATTGACCAGGGGATTTTCTCTACTAGAAACCACAGAACCTGTCAGCCACTTTACAGGACAGAAGACCCCAAAGGAGATTCACTGGTTCATTTGGGTAGAAGTCTCTGAAATTTGTCTTCTAGCTTGGGAGGTTACTGAACAAAGAAAAGTGTCAACTTGAGGATGTTGGAAGAGCAGCATGCTTTGCTATCTTCACTACACTAGTAACCTTTACATAACGACCTTAGCCCAACTCAGTTAATGGCCCACATAGATTTACAAACATTCATTGGTATTTTCAGAATTTAAAGAAGTTCAGAAATATTTTCATTTCCTACATTCTTAATGTTTTGGCTTAGTAATTTTCTTGTTGTAGTTTTGAGAAATGTTATGTCAGCCACACATCTGTAGACATTTAATCCCTCTCATAAAATCTTCCCTTGCAATCCCCACTTTGTGATGAGGTAATCACTCCCTTGAGTCTTATCACCCTATTGGCCAGACCTTTCTTGGGACTATATGAAAATGTATTAATACAGTATGTGCTCTTTAGTGTCTAAAGCCTCATATTTTAATCATCCACAACAACTTCTGTTGTTTTCTTTCTCTTTACAGTGATGAAAGAATGAAGCAGAAGTACCCTTGGGAATCACAGGCTTCTGGCAGTGTTGGTAACTTCACAGTACCTTGATTGGGGATGGGTGAAGACGAGGTGTAAGAGGGGGTTTCTGGCCACCCTTCTAACCTTCAAACAGAGCCACTGTACTTTAGCTTGCCTTATAAACTCAGGTTCATTGGAAGATTTCATTGGGGAAAAGGATTCTTTGTTCAAGGGAAAAAAAAGTTAGTGAAGCCCTGGTCTAGACATTCCCAACTAATCTCTTTTCCTTGAACATTCTATAAATTACAAACAGTGTTTTCTGATAGTAGAACTGTGGCTGGGTCCCTGGAGAGAGGGCCGGGAGACAGAGGCAGCCAGGCTGGGGCCCCCAGGGAGGGTTGGGCATTGAGCACTGTAATCTTAGCACCAGTTACAATCAGATAGTGCCACCCCACCTGAGGCACCCAGACAATAGGCCAGAGGCCATGGGCAAGGAGAGCCACAAAGACAGCATTCAAAAGGCACAGTCAACCAGCATTTCTATAGACTCCCTTTGGGCCCTTGCCAAGGCTGAATGTCACCTTCCAGCTAGAAAGTCATTTTTTTCACGGTTAACTTTTAAACTGCTAAAAATAATAAACACAGAAAGCAAAGTGCTGACACAAACTTCACTGCAGAGGCAAACTGAAACTGTTATTATAATAATGTAAACAGACAGAGGTCTAAACTCTAACCACACGTTCCCAAGGGACTGCTTGGTATGGCCAAATCATTGGGGTGCAGAGGGGGAATTTAGGGGATTTGGAGGGCTTGGTTAGTGAAGAAAGCAGTTTCACTGCACAGGTGCCCACACTTTAGTGGATCTTCTCTAACCAATGACAGCGGAAGTCTTGAGGCTTTTTTTTTTAACAAAGAAAAGACAGATTGGAGAATATTGCTAAATCTTTATACATACTACTTTTTCCACACCAAGAGTGAAAATGGATTTCTTTTTCTCCCTGTTTCATTTGCAATCTACTCTTCTCTCTCCTGAATTATCAGAGCTCAAAACCACATTAACCAAAGTAGCAATGCCACAGCTTAGTAGATATATCTCACAGTGCTAAAATGTGACAATCACAAATATCATAAATCAGCAGATTCAAGTCAAACTAGTCATCTGACCTTCTGATCCATCAAATCACGTGTAGAACTTGGCACCCACACAGGACAGCCAATGGAAGGGAAACCGTAGATCTGGAAAAAAAAGAAAATACAAGAATATAAATGAATATGTTATTTTTTCTCCCCTAAGTTCCCCAACATTTGCTTAATCTGTATCTGCTCTTCTTTCTGTGTTTAAATAGAGTCTGGTTTCAGACTGTCTCTGACTTTAAATAAATGCAAATAGACTTAGATAAATCTTATTTCAAAGAGAAGATGATTTTAGAGAAAAAAAATTTGAACATGAGTACTATAACAACACATTTAGATGCATGCAATACTTGTGGACCCCAAAGTCTGCTTTTCAATGACTAGGACTCAGAAGTTTGGGATTCTCAGGTTGTGGATATGAACAAATGTCTTAAGCAATTTAGAAGTTTTTTGGTGCCATGCATGTCAGGGCTTGGACCTGGCTCTGCTCTCAGGGAGATCCACTCCTGGCAGTGCTTGGGAGAACATACAGGGTGCTGGTAATCGAACCCAGGCTGACTGAAGGCAAAGGCAAGTGACTTACCCACTGTACTATCTCTTTGGTTCACAATTTAGAAAATTTTTTGTTCTAAAGGGATTAGATAGTTCTGAGAAAATGGTTTCTGAGATAGGTCCTAGATAAAAGCTGCAGTGGTGCCATTATGGCGGCAGAACCATATGGCACCTGGAATGCAAGGTAGGTTATGTATCAGGGTATGCATGAGGGCATCAGGCCAGTGCTATCTAGATTTAGTTGAGATTATATTGGTGACATTAATAAACAACATGAGAGACAAACTCTAGCACCTTCTCATACAGCAGCTGATGTTACCAAGGGTCTGTCTACACAACAATTTGAAAGCAGTGAAGAAAGCAGTTTCACTGCACAGGTGCCCACACTTTAAACATGAGTACTGCCATGTTTAAAATCCCCCCCCCCCCCCACACACAGTGTATATGTGTGTGGGGGGGGGATTTTAAACATGGCAGTACTCAGCAGCTATTCCTAGTTCTGGGCTCAGATGCTGGGGACTAAAACAGAGTTTATCACATGCAAGACAAGCACCTTACCTCTTGTATTGTCTACCCAGCCCACAAGAAACTGTTCTTTTTTTTTCTTTTAAATCTACTGTGATCTTAGAAATTAATTTGCTCTTTGTGTAAAACTTATAAATCATAGAAAAACAGAGGTTACTAGAACAAATGTCCGAATTCCCACTATTTCAAAGGACCACTAATAGTATTTTGTTATATCTGCTATTTTTAACATAAAAAATAGAGCTTAGGTAAAATTTCCTTGCACAACCCTATTCCAGGAACAATTCATAAATGTTTTCTTATAGTTCGCCTTTAAAAAATCAAATGTAATATGTGTATCAGAAACAATGAACAAAGTTACCTGCATGATAGGAATGGATTATTTTGGTTCAACATTGGTATGAGAGAGCTCACCATGTTGATCTGTAATAGCTCATTCTCTTTAACTGCCACATTGAATAAATATAGGCTCAGCCATTGTCTTTTCACCCAACACCCAACATTTATGATACCATAAAAACACTTGTTATATCATTAAAGTGATTGTTGGTTATGTGTGGGTGTGCATACGCTTATATGTGCAAATTTTCTCTGAGACTGACTCACATCTCAAGATGTGGCCTTATTGTTGGTTCTTCTACACTACAATTCCATGCAGAATGTTTAAAGGCAACACATAGTTATAAATGATTCTGCTTGTTATTATTTTTGCTCCTTTTAGAGAATACTGGAGAGGACTTTGGGTTGCATTTGTCTAATTTCTTCAAAGTTACTCTCGCTGCTCGTCATAAATCTTCAAATCCCAAGCCATCAATATCACATCACTATTTGCTAGGCAATCAAAAATGGTGGTATTCATATAGGCCATTGACCAAATAATTTAAGAAGAATATTATAAACTCCAAAAGACTAAACTTGAAAGAATGGTGGAAGTTTGTGCTTCTGTTGTGACTTAATGATGAATGAATATAATGCTAACATTTAAAAACAGTGTTTTTTAACATAATATTGAATCGATTTATTTTTGCAGGTATGAATAATCTTGAGTTATACCCTGAAAATATGTTAATTAATGTGACCTAGTAAAATCCTAAAAATTATTTTATGGTAATTGATAATATGTATCTTTATATCTAACATTTATAAGCATTTATATATGAGCTGGACTCTGCCAATTATCTGATTTAATTTCACTTAATTTCAAATAGCAATTGTATAAGGCAAATATTATTAATAACCCCATTTTTCAGATGAGAAGGTTTAAAAATTTACCTGAGGTCAAGTAGTGAAGAAGGAATTACCAAGAGATTTTACTCATATAGTATGAAATCCTTAGTTTCATTCTGAATTTCTGAGAACAGGCTCAGATTTTAAAGATGAAACTGTGGAAAAGAAAGCTGAAAACCTGCCATTGATGGGGCGTCCTAATTTTGCTCTAATAGAAAGAAATAACATCTCTTTCAGAGTATACCTAAAGGTAAGAACAAAACAGAGGGGCTTGGAGCGATAGTACAGTGGGCAGGGCATTTGCCTTGCAGGCGGCCGACCCAGATTTGGATCTCAGCAACCCATATGGTCCCCTGAGTACTGCCAGGAGTAATTCCTGAGTGCAAAGCTAGGAGTAACCCCTATGAATTGCTGGGTGAGACACAAAAAGCTAAAAAAAGAAAAAAAGAATAAAACAGGGTTTCCCAAGTACACAAGTTCAAACTGATATCCTGGAGATGGGGGAAATTCAAAGACACAGGGTCAAACCCCAGGCTCTATCAATTTAAACATACCCATTAAAAATTCTTTTCTTCCTAGAAAATAAGGAGCTCTAAATTTGCTTATGGCCCAAGGAGAGAGACCAATTTGTTTATACAAGATTCAAAGCAAAATGAGAATCACCCCCTGGAACAACTTTAGCCCAGAATGTGTGTTCTTAACACATTTTTAATTGGGGCACAAATATATTAACAGTGTGGTAATTTTGCACTTTGAAAAGAATTTGTTTTATAACTAATTCATATTTATAATTGGAATACATTTATTTCTGGGCATGAAACAGTTCATTTTGTTACACCATCTGACCTCAGGTGAGGTTGGCAAACTTTCTCATGACTGCTCCCAATTAATGCAAATTGTAGGTTAAAGAATAAATAAAGTTCCTTTAACTTGGTTTACTAATATGTTATTTATAAATGACTCTTGGTCTATTTTTTCAGTATTAACTGTACACAAGTGAGGATTAGAGCAAACAAGCAAAATATAACATAAAGGTTATTGCAGTTTTTATTATAAAAGGGTCACATCATGATAAAAAGATGTCATCTATATATCACCTATTTATCTACCTATCATTTGTCAATTTATCTAAACAGCCTCAGCCCTCTCATCAAATGTTATGGATCCTAATATAAACTGTTTGCATTGCATTAATGGCCTAGTTTCCTCCTCCTATGTAGCTATTCCTTTAACATGTAACTGCTGTTCCTCTAAAGAAGAGCAGTCTATTTTCCTCTCCTACAAGATGGAGGTAGCATTTCATATTTCCAAGATACATATTGATTTACTAAACCAAAAAGGTCTAGAATGAACACATGCTGTCTCCTCAGTTAATCATGGATACCACTAGTCAAAATCAATGTTTCCTTACTGCTGAGTCCAAACACAATCTTCAAATTCTCAAGTAGTATACCAGTTAACCTCTGTCTTTTTCCAGAGCAATTTTTATTATTTATTTTGTGACTTTTAGATTACAAAGACGAAGTACTCAAGAATCGCTTTATTTAGCAAAATGTATCATATACTAATATGCTCTGTGTACACATATTTACGTGCATGTTTCCGCATGATGGAAACTTATTGATAAATGGACAGGCCACTAACTAGATTTTGCCAAAGTTCCTAATTCTACATCATGTTAACTCAAAACAACAGATTCGAAATAAGCTGAATTAGGTGGAGGAAACTTGACACAACATAGCCTATCATAGAAAAGTTTTTAAAATCAACTTGACTATGTCATTGCAATTGACTAACGATTGACAAATTCCTCATTCTAGTCAGAGGTGAAGAGGTACATAATATTACCAACAGCGATTTGTGACTTCTGGTTGCTATCTGAATGTCACTGAAGGTTTTTTAACCGTAGGGTGTTTCCCAAAATGTTTGACATTTGAAAAGAGGTGTTACTATCAGTGTTATATGTTAGGACAATAACATAGGCAGATTCAACAAGCCAAACTTTTTTTCCTACTTAGAGTTTTTAACATCAAGAAAATAATTACTGTTCAAACAATCTGAAGACTTTCTACAGTTACTTCAACCACAAACCCCAAATTATTAAATTCCAAGCAAAATGATGTTTTGGAAAAATTGTTCATATCAAAACATAGTCCCAGGAAAGAATCTCTAAAGTAAAAAATTCCTAGCAACTATTATTTGACCATGATCCACAATAAAAAGTACACTTTACATGCAGCACACAATATCTGTGTAAGTCTATACATCTAACTAAAACAACAGTTCCATAAAAACATTCATGCTCATTAGGTACACTTAAAATTTTGTATTCCACCCAACTATATCCCATTCTATGCTATTTTATATATTATTCCATTATAGAGAAAGTAATGACATGCTATGACTTCATTATCCATTAATAGGGCCCAACCCACTATTTATAAAATGCCACTGTAGCAAAGTGCCTAAAGTCTGATTTTATTTACCAATGTAAACATATCCACAAAAGACCAATCCTGAGCAACTTAGCAGGGGTAAAAAAAATCTCTTGGCTTTCTCCCTAGTATCCTGGATAAAGTCAAAGTTTGCAGAGCCAACTTTTGTACTTCATGCTTGACAATGACTGAAAACTGAAAGGCAGAGATCAAATCCTCACTCTCCTCAACACATCTCTTCCGCTGGGTAATTTATACTGTGCAAGTATCAAGCTATTTAGTTTTGCTGTCATTTACTGTTCTTTTTCCAAAAGCAATGGAAATACAGTATCGGTTTACTGTCCTCTCTTTTGAGTAGAATTA